GAGTAGCCTAAAGATCGTATGGTGATCAGGAAAAATACCCTATCAGGTGGGTTAATATCTCCTATAGGGAATCTGAGGTTCGAGATAGGGTATTTGGATAAGAAGGACCACCGGTCAAGAGGTTTAAAATACCCGCTAGGGTATTTTATAGTGACGATAGGGTATTTTTGGCTGATGAGTTTTAGTTACTTTTTGTTTACGATTCTTTTTCTGTACTTTCATTAGTTTTATTTTCCAGACCTATTGCAAGGGTTGTAAACTCTGTTTTGAGGGAGATTATGTTGAATAGAAGAAAAAAATCCTTTTTGGTTCATTGAGTGTGTTGCTCTTGAATTTTGTGCTTGTTTGTTGGTGGATCTCCAGCATTCCAGCGAGCTCTGTATCAATCAGGTATTCCCCTTGATTGTGGTCGAGTTGCTACCCTTATATTGTTCGAGCCTTCTCCCGATTTCATGTTGAGATTGCACGACAATTTTCACCATATCCTTTACTTTTCATGTTGTTAAAAGAAAATTCAAAAAATCCTAAAAAGATCAAAGCTGCGCGACTTTGATAAAAGAACCTAAGGTTTCACGAGCTTAGGATCTTATCAAGACTGCTTCTCACTCGGTTGTTATCTCGTCAATCATGTTTTGGGTTTGTTGGAGAACAATTGGTAATAACTGGCACATAAAGCATAAATGAGAAAGGAGGTTCTCGGGGCACCGCCCTCGCCCTAGTTACATGGTATGTCATGCAAAAGGATAGTGTTAGTGTCAGGAGTGAGACACGAGAGATTCAGGTGCGAGTGAGAGAATGGTTCTTTTATTCCGTGAAGGGATTATAAAGGTTTGGGGAGAGAAGATTTCTAGAGAGAGAAGTTTTTAGTAGTAGAGAGATAGTCCGTAAAATCCCCCCTCACCCACCAGAGTAAATGCTATATTTATAGACTTTACTTTCGGTGGGTGAGCATTAAATGCTAAGTGACATTTGACCAAGTGGGAGGTATGGGCTCTAGCGTCTCGAGACATGAGCCCTCGTTGGCAGTACGACGCCGTTCTGCACTCTTCTTTCCACATATGGTTGTTTCTGTCCGCTCCATGTAACACCCTACCCTGTACGTTTTGCCTGATCATATTGTTCACACAATTGCAGCGGAATTTAAAACTGGTGTTACATTAATTACCAAAAATCAAATAAAATTTTGACATGAATTACTCGCGTAATGGGCTAACCGTTCTTGCAACTAGACCTGCAAAATGATTCATCCAAATCCCTGCATTCGTAGACATACATATATACTCACAACCATGTACATTGGCTTTCATAGCTATAGTCACACTTTCGTACTCTGCAACTACATACCATACTTATACATGTCATAATCATCACTACATACACCACCACACACATATACACATATAATCAACTTTCCACACCCGTGGATATCTCACTCTACATCAGAAGCTAGAATGCACATGAAAAACATTCTCAAAACATTTTTACAAAAAGGTGTGGATCACTGACCAAAATCCCGAGTAGTAGTCCAAGCACATATAGTTGAAGACCATACCTCATTTTGCCTTCAACTCTTGCTCAGCTCCCACCTATACACCTATCTACTGCTGCTGCTGCTGATGATCTGCTTACACATGGCATAAGCAGAGAAAAAGGATAAAGAGGGTCAGCTCATGGCCGAGTGAGACAATCATTGCATCGTGAGTTCATAACAAAGCATACCCTACCATACATCTAGCAAACAAGCCAAAGCACTAAGATCAGACTCAACCATCTTGACTTATGCATATGCATCTTATCATGTTTTAATCATAGGTTCCTGGCTACTCCCATGCTAATTACTCTCCCGGGAATACGGACCAAACATCTCGTGGATGTGGTCATATCGGACCCACCACTGTCGGTGTAGTCCTATCGGACCTGACACCACTCTGGGTGTGGTCATATCGGACTCAACACCACTCTGGGTGTGGTCATATCGGACTCAACACCACTCTGGGTGTGGTCATATCTCATGATGAATCAACGACCAACACCACATCAGGGGTGTGACATAACATATCATAACGGAGTAATAGCACGGGGAGCCCTAATTACTATATAATTGATCATGAGACCAAATCACTCTTATTTGGTAATCTTATACATGATCCATATATCATCTTGCTTAATCATAATTCGTTACTTGCACATGTACTTGACCTGGCCATACTTGGCTCAACATAGGTAAAACAGGAGTCGTATAATTGCACTTCCTCGGGACGAACCCTCGTGCAAGTCATCCTCCTTAAACATCATAATATCACCCTGGGAAGTTTATTCCCCCACTTATGGATCCAAATACAACCATAATATCACATCATGTCAAAACACCTTATCGAACAACCATGAAGTCATATCAACAGTTAAGCCATAAATGGCGACATGTATGCAATCATCAACATAAACAAGGTCCATATCGATTAGGGCAAGTCAATAATATCATACAGCAATCCATGGTTCATCATATAGCAGAAAAGTCCATACACCCATAATCATGCCATTCTAGTTCACCTAGATCAATTCTAGGCATCAATATATAACTATCGTGATAGGACAAACCCGGTATGCCGTGCTAATCCCTCACCAGTTCTGGTCGTTCAAACACCGGTTTTAGCTTCTCGTACTAAAACTTGGATTTTCACAAATGAACCCAGAATCAAAATCCGAGACCGTCCTTGTATCCCCTGCAGTATCCCCGTCAATGTTAGTTCTAGGCTCCGAGTCAAATTCTCGATAAAAACACATCAAACCCTGGCCGGAGCTAAATTCAGCGATTTGGACCCCGACCTAAATAATTGCTGAAATTCAGGGATTAGAACTAGAGGATTAATTACCTCTCTGCAGGAAGCTCGTATATGAAATCTGGGCTTAATCCGGCTTCCGGATACTCCAAAACCCTAATTTGACTTATCGGGAATTCAAGAAATTCCTGAACCAAAAATTCGTTTTAAAGCTTTAAATCGATAAACTACGATGAATGGATGGATTATGCGTATAGTTATTTAGAGAATTAAGACCTATATAAAATTAATACGTATACTTATTCGATCGATCGATATTCCGATTTTCATCGAAATACTATCAAAACGCTCGATTTTAAATCGCAACTTTCTAGCGATCGAAATATGGGTTTTGCCGGAACGAAATGTTACACTCCATGTCTTGGATCTCATCCCGGTTGTTTCCTTCCGCGCGTCTATTGGCGCACCCGTACCTGTGTAATTCGGGTCCCCAACAGATAGAATTGCCAGATTATGGGGAATGAAGTGCGAAAATCACTAATATGAGAGCTAGCTCAATGGCCATGCAACTAACTTCCCTCCTAATCTGATCCAATGACCAAATCTCACTTCAATCATATTAACGAATTAGGGATACAATCTAATTCCTTTCAATGGGTTGCCCCATTATGCACACTAGGTCGATATATCGATGATCACACACGTACCGCTCTTGCATCACCTAGGTGGATGTCCTAGTTGACAGGGGATGCTCACCTCATCCACAAACTAGGTCCCTAGATCAATCATCGACCCAAATCATTGCAGACTGCTCAATCCACAACACCTTCAATCAAATCCTAAATAGGCAATCAAAGATAGCATATAAAGATGCAAGTTCAAAGCACAATAATTAATAATCACAGATAGATGCATTAAAATATTAGGGAAACAAATTCCATTTATAAACTCTAGCAAAGTTCATCTGACATAACAAAACCTAAAACTAGTTTTTGGGAGACAAAGCCCCTAGTACCTTGAGTGACTGCCCCCATAAAGGGAAAAGGAAAGAAATGAAAGAATATGATAGAAGAGTAGAAATGGAGGACTTCTTGGAGAGAATCCCTTCCTTCTTACCTTCTTCATTTTTCTTCTTCTCCTTCCTTCACATTCTCTCTCTAAACTCTCTCTACAAACTTTAAAATTGACCAAGTATCTAAACTCTCTTACAAAGGAGGAGAGGTCCTTTATTTATAGGCTTTAGCAAACACAGATAAGTTCGCGACAGCGTTCTGGATATGCTGGTTTGGGAGATTGCGGGATGACTACACAGTCGCGATCCAGAAGTAACGGCCGCGATCTTTATTGCAGTCTCGGACGAAGAAGGTTGTGAGTCGATTGTCGAAACCTTCTATTCTTCCTTGGCTGCTGCTTCTCCAAGTTCACGGCTGATCCCTCCAAGATCACTGGTACATCTTTCTCTCGAGTTCGCGATCTTTGGTTGAAGTTTGTGGGATTCTCTTCTCGGCCGTGATCTTTACTCTTCTGTCGTGAGATTCCTGTTTTCCTCCACATCGTACACTTGTGCTCTATTTTGGTGCCTAAAATGCAAGCATTATCGAATGCACTCTAATACGACATGAAATGCTCAGAGTAACGAATTTGGGATGCAAATGACAATATATTAACTATGAAGACCAAAGAATGGCATGAAAACACCTAGAATATAATGGCTAAATAACATCAATTTGGGTGTTATCACTTACCCTTGTTTTCTGGTCCATCCATAATGGTTTTCTAATTGCGCTTGTGACCCATTCTAACCCTTAATGTTCCAAATACTCCAAAGGCAGTCCCCAAATCCTAATCCAAATAGACATAGTTGCTACCTAATTAGGAACAATGGATTTGATCACAGACTTCCGTTTACGAAAGAAGACTGTATTACCTAGGTAGTGGGAGGATTGGAGTGGAAAACCAAATCACACGAAACATGTGAAGGAAACTAGAAAACCAACATCTTCGAACCAAACCGAGAAATTCAACAATACCATCTCTCCCCCATAGACGATTTAGTGATTTACCCAATAAACCGGTTTGATAAGCTATGGCCATGGGCCTGCGGGCTGCCCAGCTGGTTCAGACAATGGTATCATGGTAATTAATTAAAAAATTAGGCACACAATTGCCATAAAAACGCCAAGCGCCATTCTGTTTCCACTTTCCACTTGTCGGGCCTTGATTGGAAGCATACGGCGCCACCCTCGCCAAACCACTGTTTGCCTTTAACGACGCCGGCGGAGGAAGGAGTAAACAAGCCCGGCAGCGGCAGCGGCAGGTGGTCGGCGTCCGGCAGGCGGGGAAAAAGGGCAAGCAAAACGGCGCCATTCTACGGGACGTCGTCTCAGGAATTCAGGATAGCATAATTAAACCTGTATATTGTAATTTGTATATGTGTAGCATCATCCCATTCCGCCATTATCGCGGGGGTAAAGAAGAATTCATCAAAGCTTTACTTTCTGCCTCTCTCTCTCTCTCTCTCTCTGGAGTGGTCACACACACTGCTCCGCAAAAATATCCATCCGCTTACAGAAAAACACGAAAATTCAGAAAACTAGTTTTGGTCTCTCTTTCCGCCTCTCTCTATCTCTCTGAATCGCCGCCATGGCTTCCCGGTTCTGACCCCATCGGAGGCCCACCGTCTTCACCATCTCCGTTCCCGCCCACTTCCGTAACTCCGATCTTATTTCCCTGATTTCTGATCTGGTACCGTCTGCCCCTTCCGCGCTCTGAATTTATGTTTCTTTTTTTCTTTTCTTTTTTTTTTGCAGAAAGTTGAACCGCCGTTGATTGATTCGGTGATTTCTTTTTGTGCTGGTCGAATTTTGTTCCTGAGTCGTTTACGATGGCCGCTCCGCCCGCCAGAGCTCGAGCTGATTACGATTTCCTCATTAAGCTACTCCTGATTGGCGACAGCGGTACGTACATTATTTCTTACGCCTCCTTTCTCCATTCCTTTCCTCCAGATCTGATGTCCGGAAAGGAAGTCCATGAACATTCCACTTCGTGATTCTAATGGCACTTGATCATGGAATTAATGGTTTCCGTATTTAGCAATGCGATCCAATTGACGTTTTTATGGAATTTTTTTTTGGATTAGGAGAAAGAGTAATGGTCCCATATTATGATTTGGTTATGAATCACTCTTCCCTCAATCAGCCTGTTATAAGAAACAGATAACAATGTCGCTTTGGGCTTCAAGCGTTGATGAATTCCTTACGCTGTTTACTTTCACTAGCAATAGCATGGTCTTTGGCTGTTTCATGGTGTCATTACATTCATATCTGCTTCAACTATTTTTGGCTTTAAGTTGCACTTTCTCAGATTTTGACCTAACTCGTTCTTCCTGTTGCAATGCAATTTTATCTTCGTTTCTGCCAGCTCATTTTACTTGAAATCTAGATTGATTGAGGCGTACGAGCGAATTCTAACACCGGAAGATAAATATTACATAATACGATAGCTAGAATGTTGAACATGAAACAGTTAGGAACTTGATGGCCAGAATTGCAATCCTATATTCACTGTTTCTTAAGGGTCCCATTCCGTTTCCAGCTCTGGGATTGAAAGTTCTTGTTTGATTAAGATGCAGAAAATCACAAACTATATCTGCAAACTGACATTGCTCTGTATCATCAGGTGTGGGCAAGAGTTGCCTTCTTCTGCGCTTCTCTGATGGCTCTTTCACTACAAGTTTTATCACCACTATAGGGTATGTTTTCATTGGCCTGGCAGTTCAAGTTTCCATGCTGCTCTTTGGTCCTGACCGCTCTAAATTCTCAAAAGTACATTCCTTTTGCAGTATTGATTTTAAGATAAGAACCATTGAGCTTGATGGCAAGAGAATTAAGCTTCAGATTTGGGATACAGCAGGCCAAGAGCGTTTCAGAACTATCACGACTGGTAAGTTTATAAATGTCATTTGTAAGGGGTAAAAGGTGTTGTGTTTAAGACACTAAGTTACTACTCTTCTTCTGTTTCACATACATTTCATGCGTAAAACTGAGTAATTGGTTCTTGCATGTTTGTATCCTTGTCGATTTCTTTAGTGTGTTCATGTTGATTTGACTTTGATGGAGGGTACTTATATTGGATGGGTCTCTGAAAGCTTAGAGGCTATAGTTTCTGAGAACCTATAGTTTTGCCAGAGTGTGGGCACATGTTATTCCTCTTTCCAAGCCTTTCTCTCTGTAAAAAAACAGAGCCGAGCCTTCCTTTTCTCCTCTGTCATCTTGTTAACTGATGATCTGCTGCTATCTTTTACAGCCTACTATCGTGGAGCTATGGGTATTTTACTGGTCTATGATGTTACTGATGAATCGTCTTTCAACAGTAAGTCTCCTCTAGGCTCTATCCTAATAGCTGAAGCTAAATACAGACATTCAAGTAATACTTGTTCAAAAATGTTGTATGTGTGCTTTAACGCTCTTGCCAGTTGTTGTTAGTCCCCTTCCCATTCATGCATGTGTGTGATGGTCAAGAAGAAAGTTGAGTTGTTTTTCACCGTTCCAACTTGCTACCATTTTGCCGCAGACATAAGAAATTGGATCCGCAACATTGAACAACATGCTTCTGATAACGTGAACAAGATCTTGGTGGGAAACAAGGCAGACATGGACGAAAGCAAACGGGTATCCTTCAATTTACAGAAATTGCCTCCCTTTCTGAACATGGGACAAGCACTCATTCTTACTAATCCTTACGGCCTGGTTTTTGTGACTTGGGTAGGCGGTGCCTACAGCAAAGGGACAAGCACTTGCCGATGAGTACGGGATCAAATTCTTCGAGACTGTAAGTTATGAATTATGATTGACATTGATAGATCTCAACTGAAGTCATCTCGTCGCTGGCTAAACTAACTGTCCACGAACTTCGGAATCGCAGAGTGCAAAGACAAATCTAAATGTGGAGGAAGTTTTCTTCTCAATAGCAAGGGACATAAAGCAAAGGCTTGCAGATACCGATTCGAGGGCCGAGGTACTTTCCTAGTATAATGCTAACGATACATACCACTGCCATACCATGATTAGGATTTAGGAGTGGAAATCGATACGGTATCGGTATCCAATATCAAATACCGAAATCCTGAATACCGAATTACACCCTAAACTCAATCCCAATTCCTAAATAATTTCGTTATCCCAATCCCAATCCCAATCCATAAATATTTCGGTACCCCAATCGGTAATTCGGTATCCCAATCGGTATTATCGAATACGAAATTAATTACATTTTTAAGTAATAATTAAATAAATATATAAATTAGACTTAATCGTTTAATTTAGGGCAAAGAGTCTTAAGTTTGCCTAAAACTAGGATATGGATTAGGAAAATCAAGGAGAGGTGAAATCTCAAATTCTTGTTATTCGTAATCCTTAATTTGGCGAATTGGAGGTTGGGAGACGATTAATACTAGTGTTTGCTTTTTGGTGTTATGAAAATAAGAAGAGATTAGGTGAGAAAAGAGAGTCAATTAATCTGGAAAGTCAAAATTGAGTTTGATGGGAACTTATAGGTTGTGAAAGAGTGGGGAATGACTAAAGGTTGTGTGTTATATTTTATTAATTTTTAGTTTTCGGTATTTCTCGGTATTTCGGTATATACCGATCTCAATCCCGTAATCCCGAATAGCACTCCAAAATGAATTCCAATCCCAATCCCTAAAAAATAAGCCGGTATACAATAATACCAAATAGTAATAAATTCGGTACGATATTCGTTATATCACAAATACCGGTACCAAACTTCAAACCCTAACCATGATAGCAATTAGTCTTTGGAAATGCCACCATGTAGCTCTATACTGTGTGTTTTGTTTTGTTTCTTGCCAGCCAACGACCATTCGGATCAATCAAGGAGACCAGTCAGCTGGGGCTGGCCAAGAGGGACCGAAATCGGGTTGCTGCGGTTAAGTTGAGAAGATTCCATCCCATCCCAGCTCGTACGTTTTTGTGTAGGAAAGATCCTGAATCCAAAGTAGATCCTCCACTTACTTGGATTGAAGGCAAAGCTAATAGGAAAATACAACTAGTTCGATGAGCGATGATTATTGCTTGTAATTCTTCATTTTTTTTTTGCTTACTCTTTTTTTTTTTCTTTGGTCTCTTCGATTTCTATTAATTTTTTCTTTTTTGTTCTGGATTTGTTTGTACTTGTAACATCCCGAATTTTTTTCCGACAAAGATATTGTGCGTTTTGAGCCTCAATTTTTACGGTTTTCGGCTTGGGGTAATTCAAGTTGACTTCCATAAGGTCACCCATTATTGTTGTACTCCACACTAAGCACGTTTAAATTTGAAGTTATAGAACAAGAGAGTGTATTAGGGCTATAAAGGCGTCAAGAACAATAGAAGACTGTGATAGAGATAAGAAGCATGAGGAGGAGAGTACCCGTAGCCCGTAGGGTTGTTTGGTTGCATCTTACAATGACAGTAAAAAACAATTACTATTCTATATAGGGATGGCAATTTCGACCTGATCCGTTTTACCCGACCTGTTTGATCTGTTTTGGGGCGGGTCCGACCCGCCCCGTAAGCGGGGCAGGGCGGGCATGGGTACTCTCTCATCGACCCGACCTGCCCTGACCCGCCCCCATTCTCGACCCGTTCTTGCCTAAATTACACATAATTTTAGTGAAATTACTTAGGATTTCCCTTTTATTACATAAAATTTTAGTTATAATAAAGATGTAAATTAGTGAAAGCCTTAATTTCTCCAATATTTATACTAATATTTATCATAATATTGTTTGTTTCATTGGTCTTATAATAAAAATAATGAATATTTTTAATATTTTTCATATAAATTGCATACTCATTGGGTCGACCTGCCCCGACCCGTGACCCATAATAAATTACCCGACCTGAACCCGACCTGCCATGAGGCGGGTCTGGGTACCAAGAAACCCGGCCCGGACCTACCCATTGCCATTCCTAATTCCATATCAGCATTAATGTTCGGCACCTCAGCAAATTGGACCGGAAGTTAACATATATATTTTTTCAAATATTTGTTTGGGTTTAATTTGTTATATTTTGATAAATTCGACTATTATTTTGCACATGAAAAATTTAACTAATAAATTATATTTGGATACACTAGCCCAATTGTCAGCTAATAAATTTCTAACTCGCATAGGAAAAAGGTTTTGCACTGTACTTCGAATCCAGCCCAAAACTCAAACCTGCCCGATTTTGTCCATGAGAGCAGAGGGCCGGAGGCCCATTATATGGCTCAACGCGACAGGGCTTCCAATGTGATTTCCGCTAATTTTCATTGATCAGTTCAGCATCGTCCCAACTGAAACCCCACCTGCCCCCTCCTAACTTTCAGTGAGCACAGAAACAGAGAGAAGGCGAAGGCGAAGGCTCTCCTCTGGAAACTGGAGCCATGGGTTCCGCGGAGCAGCCACTCAAGAAGCGAAGGCTCTACGAGTTTCAACCAGAAGAACCGCCTCCGCCGCCAGACTCGTCGGCAGTTCCGCAACCGCCCTCCACCTCTGTTGCTCCGCCTGGAACGCCACCGCCGCTCTCGCAGGAGGAAATTCTCGCCAGGCGGAGAAACAGAGATGAAATCAGAAGTGTGTACGATACGTACAAGCGGCTCAAGTTTTTCTTGGCCCAGAAAGATGGAATCCACTCTCTGGAGCTGGAACAAGCATATCTTTCTCTTATTGCTGCTTCCAGAGGTAGGGCATCGTCTTCCGCTCTCACTGCTGAAAAAGCTAATTATTCTTGAGGTTCCTAATATTATCATTTTAAGGTTTGCAATTATGAATTAATTATCATGGAGCTTATGTTGAAATGTGCTTTGAATTTTAGTGATGGAATTGATTTTCATGCTATGTATTGGGGGTGCAAATGAAGGCAACTAGGGCAAAAAATTTCCCTTTTATTGCATTTGAGACTGTAGTAAATATAGGACCGGAAGCAGGAGCATATAGAATGTGATTAATGGGTGTTTGTTTCTTGAGAGATGTGGAGCCTTAGCCCGGGTTCGCCTGAGAAGCATCACTTTTGTTCCCATGGCACACTGCAATTATGGGCATTTGCCCATCGTATGCCACCCAACTCAAATAAGTACAATTTTATGTATGGGCAAGGGGCAAGGATTAGGGTCCTATTAAGTTATAGAGTTCCTTTGTATGAGATGGCGATAAAGGTAAACGCAATGGCCCTGAGATTGGAGTGAGCTTCAGAGGACAAAAGTCATTGAGAAATTTGTCCTACCAAGTTCCCTTTTTTGCGTCTCTTTTAGTAGTTACAGGATTATCTTGTTTCTGTGTTTACATTGGCCGTTGGCAAAAGATTTGAGAGACTGACCAATGGAAGAAGAAAGTTTCAATGACATTTGTATGGCTAGTCTTGCAGGTTGTTCCAGTGTACAACGGATTGTGGCTGATCTAATTCCTCGATATGCATTGAACTTTCCAACTGCTCTACAATCCGCAACAAAGGCTGTTATTGATATGCACAACTGGAGTGTGGCAATAATTGAAAGAGGAGAGGATAAGGATGATATTCCATTTGAAACTGCTAAAAGTTGCATCTTCGGTTTAGCAGATATCTGCCATGTTGCGACTTCAGATGCTTCTATATCGTATGACATACGAAGAATTGTGTTTGTAGCTTTCAGAAATGCACTTTCCTTCTTTTTTTCCTCAGATGGGGGAACAGATATCCTTAAGATTATTGATAATGAGTTTTTGAAGATCCAAGATTCTGCTGAGCTCTTTTTTGAGTTGAAGGAGAAGTTCTGCCATGAAGATCAACCGTCACTTTCTAAATTATCCAAGCTACGTGCACTGAGCTTTATTTGGATTTTCTTTTCTTGGCCTAAGAATATAGTTACAGCCTGTTTTGAGCTTTTGAGTTCCAATGCGTTGGAGGAAATTAAGGAAGGAAAGGATTGTGTTATCCTGTTAACAAGCCAGCTTAATACAAACACTGCGACAGATTCTTCTATAGAGTTAACCAGTGGGTCAACGAGACCATCCGATGAGAAAGGTGTTTCAGGGGGTGGATCGTTTCTCCCGGTGAACTCGTTGCTGCACTTGGTAATATTAATCTGTGAGCCTAAAAGTTTGCTTATGTGATCATTCATTGGTCAATTTTCCTTACACCAGTTTCTATTTTTTTCTGAAATAAGTTGTCAGTCTTACTTCGAAATAGATAGACTAAAGATGCCCCCTTTTCCTTCATATCAACCTTTGTCTTGATGCTACGTACTCGGTGTGTAATTTCAAGGGATTATCCGACCTTTGATTCGAGCAAACAGGGAAACTAAACGGAAGTCAGTAGACATTCTATTTTTGCCTATAGTAATTTCTGTTCCATTTGTTTGTAGCTTGTACCAGTGGTAGATCTTGCATTACATCTGAATTCTTTATCATCCTTGTTGAACCAGAATATAGTTCTGGTACGGACAAAGTCCAATCACAACAGAAAATCTACTCGTTTAACTACATACAATTGGCTAGGATGTTTAGAATTGCTTATCAATTTGTGATCTTTCCCAGTTAGAATAATGACCGCCATGCTCTCTCCTGATTCTGGTATATACGATAATGTACCTTCTAAAGTTAAGTCATGTCTATCGTTCTTGGTTTATTGAAATAGCTGACTGCTTGGGATTATGTTCCGCATGCTTGGAAAATAAATGCATGGTTCACTGTCTTCTGGGCATTTCTCCAGTGTTTAAAGAATGTAGTTGTTGGTTTGAAATTTGACCCTGATTTCTTGTTCTGGCTCTTCATATTTGCAGGTCCTACAGAAACACATGTCATTGAGAAGCTGGATGTTCCTAAAATGTAAGAAGTTCTTCAATAGACCTTCACTGGGTGATGCATCGGCAACTAGAACTTCGTTCGAACAAGTATTTGAATCGTTTCCAGAACTTAGGGATTTAGAAGGCAGCCAAATGGACAATGATGAGGATGATTCTGATCCCTCGGACCTTTTGAATCAACAGTACTTGGCGCATAGGAAATCCAGTGATCAAGATATCTATGGTGAACCACGTAGTGCAGATGGTAAGTGAAGGGGTTCTGTCAATAATATTTGACATATGTGTACTACAACAAGCCATGAATCGTATAAATTTGGTACTGACTTGTGTTGGAATGCAGGTCGTAATCAAGTTAGTGGATCATTGAGATCCATGGATTGGGAGACTAGTGACCCTGGAGGTCCTTCCCATGGAAGGTCGTCGGTGCCCAGCGATGTGATGAACCAACACAAGAATTCACCTGTTACGAGAGGACCTGTGGACTTCAGGAGCAATTCATTTGAGGCTAGAAGGCATAATCATTCTGCTGAAAATCCTGTTTCAGCTGGGGGATTGATTAACACTTCCAATTCTCCCAAAGATAATCTGGGGGCACTTCATGGTGGCCAATGTATTTGGTTCTGTGATGGAGATCCCATTGCAATGGAAGTTTTTGCTGCTTCTAGACAGCTTTGGGTTGGCTTCTTAAGTCCTGATGCATCTGAAGTTCATCTAAGGTTTGAGCTTGACAGATTTGGTCCCATGGAACAATTTTTCTTTTTCCCAGTCCAGGGCTTTGCATTAGCCGAGTACAGGAGCACAATTGATGCAGTAAGGGCACGTGAATATATGAGAAGCCATTTCCCTTGGTTGATAAAGTTCATGGATGTTGGATTGGGAACTAGGGGCTCTGTTAATGGGGCTGCAATCGGTTCGAGTCGTTATGTTTATGCTGGAAACATTTCCAGCCAATGGGTAAGAGATGAAGTTCTACATGAATCACAGAAAGTGATATTCAGAGGCCCTTACATGGTCACTGACCTTTACAGTGAAGGAGCATTGCTTATGGAATTTGAATCACCTGAAGAAGCGACTGCTGTCATGGTTCATCTCAGGCAGTACCGTAAGGAGAAAATTCTGCCTCCCTCTGATGCCTTAACATCTAATGCCGGAATGCCTCACTTAGATGGGGCAAGATCGATGCCGAGCTCTGCAGATGCTGCTGACTTGAAGGCCAATGCTCTTGGAAACATCGGTAATAGTACAAATGAATCAGGCCAAGCTCAGGCTGTTCTAGAGAGCCCAGCTGCTATGAATTTGGAAAATAATGGAACTGCTCCAGTACAGGTTGGATATCCATTTGGTTCGTCGAATCCTCCACATGCAGGTAACTTATATATATTTTTTTTTATATAAAAAAGGAACTATTATACTATTCAACTTTCTAAGCGTTTGTTGATCCTTCTGCTTAAACAATTATGATTTTTCAGGAAGCCATGTTTCTGCTGAACAATTGTGGATGTACAATAACAATGAACCTCAGTTCCAGCCAGCGTCATATGTTCAACCTGCATACCAGCCTCCAAACAGCTCCTGGGATCCTCAAGGTTTAAATAATCATGTTCCTTTCAGTCAGGTCCCATCAGAATTGATAAACACTAGCTTCCAGGGGAATGCGCCTCCTTTTGTACCCACTTCAATGACTACATTACCACAGTTACAACAAGCTCCTATGCAGCACTATGACCAGTCATTTTCCATGCCTGTTGTAGTACCTCCACCTTTGGCAGCTATTCCATCTCACGCTGAAATTCCCCCTCCATTGCCACTTGCTCCTCCTCCACCCAGCTCACCACCTCCACCACCACCCCTTGCTGAATCAGCTGATCCTGGGATTTCTGGCCATTCTTGGAAATATGGGTGGCAAGGTGCATTATGCAAAAGTGGAGTTCATTATTGTACGATAAATGTAATCGGAGTGGACTCAGAACTTTGCAAGTACTCAAACGGTCTCTCAGAACCTGCAGAGTAAGAATTGTTTTATTTAATACTTTTTTGTAGTCAGGAGTTCCAACAAGTCAACTTAGTCTCTCAACTTTTCTGATGGTGCAGATGGCCAAGTAGGCTCGACATGACAAAACGAACTGATTTTCGGCATGTAAAATCAACATTTTCCAGTACCCCTACACATAAGGTGAGTCCCTTAGTGGATGACGATGGAGCCTTCTCTCTAATTCACTTTACTGCTTACGAATGACGAGAGTATTATGAGGGTTTGCTGTTGCTGGCTTGCCAAAAGTTGGTCCACTTCTCTTTATTGCTCTCCCTCACCATGGTGAGAAGGAAAATTAATTGGTCGGAATTTATCTAACAAACTCTAAATCAAAACCTTAATCAACACTCATCTATCCAAACTAGTGGGGGTATTTTAGGGAAGAATGGGAGAAGGTCAAACTAGTCGGTGGAGGATAGGATCATCCAATTACATTTTGTGCATCTTTTTGTATGCTAGACACTGCAACATTCCTCTTTTAGAACATATCAAAGGATGGTTGTTGGTCCGTGTAAGGAGGTATTTGGATCATGTAACTGAATTAACTTTTCTTTTTACGGTAAAAAAAAACTGAATTCAGTTATGTTTGTGTTCTTATGCAACTGCCTGCAAATTGTATGCGGAAAACATTTCAGAAGTCTTGACTAAACTAATGAACGGACTGTAGTATTCTTACTCCTGGATGGCTCATTTTGCTTGATTGTATAACATTTACATGCCAGTCCTTGTTATTCATGGTTTTATGCATTAATGCTTTGCAGAGAGAAGTCTGTCAATTGATCCCGGCCTCCTCGACTGATAAAAAAGGCGTAAGTTTTTCGTTTCCCAATAATCCTAACTTACTTGCATCCTTTTTCTTTGCCTGAGTCTTCCTGGTTGAGGTGATGTTGCTCTTCCTTTTAAACCATTTATTATTCTTTCATTTTTAACAATCGTTCTCTCTCGGCAAAATTACAAAATACCAGAAAGACAATGAATCAAGCATTACAATTTAGCATTTGTACTTTTATTTATGTACTACTTGCATTTAAAAGATTTGGCTGTTGGGTCTTAGATTTTTAGTACTACAGTGTTCATTCATATTTCCCCTCTCCTTGAAATTCCCGTGCAGTACCAGGATTTCATATCGTACTTGAAGCAGAGAGAATGCGCAGGAGTGATCAAAATCCCGCCTTCAAAACCAATGTGGGGAAGGCTTCTCTTCATACTTCCTTACTCGCAAGAAGTATGCTCGATGCTGTCTATCGCTTTTGATGCATCTTCATCCCATTGTGGGTTGATTGGTTTGATTCTGCCCAAGGAAACCAACTATGAATGGCTTTGATTTTTTTTTTTTTTTGTTTTTGAATTGTGAACTCTGTTGTGAGAGTGGATTTCATACTAGGAAAACAGTAGGGTTTTGGCAGATTTGTTTGCCCGTTGACAGATTTATAGATATTGAGTTCTGTAAGCTTGTATCAGTTTGTAATTCTGTACCATGCTTTCTACATAAAAACAGTGCTGCAGGGTATAGTTGGGAGGTTAATAATGGACTTTCATACATGTGTTTGTAACTTGTAATCATCATGTGTAATGTAATAAAGTTAGGACTATTGCTCTTCAGCTATGTGGCTTGCTTGAGATTGTGAATTGATTTCTCGTCTCAAGGTATTCGAACTACTGCACTGTTTTCGATTTTCATGTAAGATGATCTCAAGTTGGAAGTTGCACTACAAGTAGTAAAACACGAAGGAACAGAAAGTTGGAACACTAGAAAATGCTGCTCTAGTGTATATGTTATGGACTAAGCAAGCGTGTAATTATAATACTTGGGTTATACGTATTAATGGAGGAAAACAGAAAGAGAATCGATCGCCCAGGTTAAAAATGCTTTGTTCGACTGCGGCAATGTCACACTTTCTGGGCATTGTCCAAACAATGTATCAACGCGGCACTTCATCTATGGAGGTATATGCTTTCTAACATTTGGAAGGCAACTTCCTTTATATTTTTAGATTGCATGGTAAGTGGAGTTCATGATTGTTGAGCTCTGTTCCACCATGATTCATTCATTGAGGCAAGGTGTATCAGTGTATTGAGAATATATAGCAGCTTTACTCCTGGATTCTTTAATTATTGTTTGTTATCTGTGATGTGATAATATGTTTTGTTTTCGTCCACAAGCCCTGAAGTGGCTGGATTCAGTCAGCTTCATAACGATTTCTTGGAGGTGATTCTTACTTATGTTATTTAGCTTCTTATAGAACCATTCTGTGTCTCCTAATATTGAATATTAACCCTTCAACGGTCGCATTTCAGGTGATGGACTTCATCAATGATGCTACTTTCTCTATGGCAATGCATTTGTTGCTGCATATAAACCAGCAGCCTTGTTCTTTTCACTCCCTGCCCTAATGAGGTGTGTCTCTATTCCAAATATGGGCATAACTGAGAAAGGGAAGAGTTTTCAAAATGCTCTGTAACCTACGTTGTCATAGCAAATAATGTTTTTGGGCTGTGTTTATATCTCTTAATTGTTGGACTGAGAGATTCTAATTTCAAAGTGCTATCTTTGGAAGTAGGTTTTGTGCTGTTCTCTTTTTGGTTCTTTCTAATGCCTTGAAGTTTGGCTTGATCTGATGCTCTGAATGTATCCAAACAGTGATGAAAATGGCGAGTTGCTGATCATGCTAGCAAGATTGCATGACAGTCTCATTCCCTCTTTTCAGCGAGGGTTCAGGATGATGTTTTCTCAGCAAGGAGATGCTGGGATGATATCAAGTGTTGCAGTTAGCTTGAAGATGTTATCGCTGAGAATTGCAAAGAACTTATGTTGTCTCTTCCAGAAGTAACAAAGATGTTTCCTGCAAATGTCGAGGATCCAATGATACGGGCGCGGAGATATTGATCCAAACGTTCAGAGAGATCAACGGAGTTTCACTTTCAACATTTGAGAACCAAGGTGATAGTCCTTCTCTAAAGAACCTTGACAAAAACTTCTACCTTATGGACAGACTGAACAACTTGCAGAGTACAGGCAAGTGACCTTCATTCTAAATTTGTTCCCAACTTGTACTCATTATTATAAGTAGAATAGTTGCTATATTTTGGGGCAGTTTCTCGTATGCATGAGCCTGTCATCCTCTCTCTGCATATACTTATGTGACGTAGCTAAGGGCATGGTTCATCCGCTTGAATTCATAATTCTCTAACTGGCACACCCTTGAATTGAAAAGACCATTGAGAGATGTCTGTCATCATTGCATGGTTGACATACAAAAGAGTCATGATAATAAAGAGACTCGAGTTAATCACAGATTCTGTTATGATATAAAGGAAGATAAAAACCCAATGGAACTGGCAACTTTTTTGTAGAAAAAATAGAATACCCCTGTTCAGCTAGGGGCTTTTTAATATATATGCTCATTCTGTAATTTCTGGTCTTGCAGTTTGGTAAAGATTGGCCTAATCTACTACTGTATGGGGAATATTTTCGCTTCTTTTGCAGGATGGATATACTTGGATGATGAAAACCTCCACTACTTATCTGGGATATTGATGTCTCCTCCAAAGAAGAACACTGTTACGGATCCACCTGTTCTGCCACCATCTTCTGTTCAGCCAAGCAAAGTGGCAACGGAGAGAAGAGAGTATGTCGACAGAGGGTTTAGGGGTAGGGCGAGGAGAGGAGGTGGAAATGAGGTATAGGAGGAAGGTCGAGAGACGAGCAGGTTGATCGACAAAACGAGGGTCCTGAAACGGAAGGAAGTGGGGATTTTGGAAGTTTCAGAGGCGCGGGGGCTGGGTTATAGTTCCGATGGTAAGACAACCTAGTTGGTAAAAGGGTTGGGTTTCGAGTTTGGGATGTGACAAGGTCCTAGGTTCGAATCTCACTACCATCTTTTTGGTGTTCTCTGAGGCACCCTTGGTAGAGGAGATGAAGTCTCCTCGATATTGGTAGCACAATGCCGGGCACTGCGCCGGGACAAAGTCCTTGATGGTTAGTATGCAGGTACCTCCAGGTTTAGTAGGGTCCGCTGTCACTCATGTGGCATGTGGGTTGGTGATGTTCTCGGGTTATCAAATAAAAAAAATGTATCTGGGTTCTGGGAGGGTTGGGAATACGATGTCTATGATTGCACTCACCACAGGTTCTCAATTTTTTATAATAATGCTCAAATTAGAATTATTAAATCACAAGTTCTAAAAATTACCAAAAAAAGCGAGTTTACTGTTCCTTAAGAAAAAATCGGAATGTACTGTTCACGGAGGGGTTTTGTGATCCCCTGTGGGTGTTTTTATGTAAGCCTAAGCTCACCACATTGGGCGAAGCAAGCTGAACCGTTGATCACGTCCAGATATCTTCACATGCATAATCTTATAAAAAACAGCCACGGGGCCCACACCCATACTCCCTCTTGCGTGCATCCCCTCCTCTCTTCTTTATTACTTTTTCAGTTTTATTTTCCTACTAATAGACTAAAGAGTCTGAGACCCATCAACTCTCTCTCTCCTAAGCAAACCCTACAACCAATCACATCATCATTCCACTCCTCATTTATTCTTTGCCCCCATCATGTTATTCACCCAATTCTTTATAGCTCTCATATTCACTACTTAATGGAAATTTGCGACTCCTCAAGAACTTGGTAGCAGGTCAGATAAGTTTGCTTAAAAGCATGCACAAGATTTGAAATTATAGTGACAAGATACGGAATAAGAAATATCTTCCTACAAGTAATCGGAAATTTATGAATTTACAATACAACATAACTAATTATTTATTGACAATCAAGGAAAATGAACTAATTATTTATTAACCTCTATATTCATCTTAGCCACATGGAAGGATGATAATTATTGTTATTTATTTAAATAAAATCACAAGTTTATCTATCATTAATTTTACTGTTTCTTACTAAAAACTCGCTTAACCCCAAGCCCACTCTTCATTGTATTTATTATGGTTTTTTAATTTGAGTTATAACCTACGGGTACCTGTAGCCTGTATGCACAAGCAAATAATGAATTCATGTACCCTCATCCCAAATTCTATCACATGATGTAACTACTAAATATATCTGATTGAAAATTTGGCATCATCAATTTCAATATTTCCTTTATTATTAACTTAATTATTTTTCAAAGTAAGTTCTTAACTTAATTGCATTATTAACTACCATCAATTTGCATTATGCAAAGATTTTGTAATGAAAAAAGTCATTATAGTTCAAATATTTAAAAATTATATCAAATCTCATATAACACACGGGTAATAACATATAATATTACACCCCAATAATAGTTGTACTTGGATCCAACATTATAATGAAAATTCAAACACCACTCATCTAACATAAATGTTCAAAGGTTCAATTCGGGTTAACCCACGGGTCAGGGGTCAACATTATAATCGACCAGCGAGTGTGTGTGAGACCCAATTTACTCACATGGTCAGGGTTAATTCGGGTTAACCCAGGGGTCGACCCGCTGGTTGACATTCTTGCGGTAAGGTTAGTTAAATTTTATATAATTGTTTAATAAAATATAATGCTTTCTGTAACTTGATTTTATTATTAGACCAAACATTACAAATGATTTATGTAACATCGACCTATTAAAGTTACATAAATTACAAATACATTGCGTCAAATTTATGGAATGATAGTTGTTTCTTATCTAACAATTAGACAAAATTTTAATACATTAACTACAATATTAACCATATCATCAATTTGTATTACGCAAAGGTTTCGTTAGCTAAGTTAATTCTACATAATATTTTAATAAAATATTATACGTTTAGTAAGTTGATTTTATTATTAGACCACAAATTCTGAAATATTTATGTAACCGTTCTATAAACGTTATATAAATTACAAATACTCTACCTCAAATTTATGGAAGGATAGTTATTTCTTATGCATTAATTAAACAAAAAAGGATGCATTAAGTCTTTCGTAATGATTAAGACATTACGTAAAATCTATGGAGGGATAGTGATTTCTTATGTAAAAATTCAAAAAAAATAAAATATTATATAGTCTTCCCTAATATGAGTTTTAATGAAAATTTATTTATAATTAACTATGTGATTGATCATCTCATCCATTTACATTACATAGAGATTCTATAAGGTTTACATAACAATTTGATTAAAGGTGAAAATTTTAATAACTTAATTAATAAATATTTTATTAGTAATTAAAATTCATTTATTATTAACTACAATATTTACAATCTATCAATTTGCATTACACAAATGTTTCATATGTAAGTTAATTTTTATATAATAATTTAATCAAATGTGATGCTTTTTCTTAATTTGATGTTATTATTAGATCATGCATTATACAAAATTAACGTAACACCATTCTATAATTGTAACGTTAATTATAAATATATTATTATGTATCAATTAAATAAGCATTTAACATGAGACTTACCGCGGCGAAGCGCAGGCCAAAAGCCTAGTAATAATTAATTATAACAACAATAATAATCATTGGTCGAGCGACCTCGAAACTCGAAACCCAACTTGTAACTGGTCCTCCTAAGGGGGTTCTCGTGCCTATATTTAAATTGAATATAATCAAACTTAGTCAAACACGTTCGAATATGTAAGTTTTACCTATTTAGTTAAGTAAACTGAGTCAACTAAACCGCTCCTCTCTATCTTTTCCATAAACGCTTCTTATCTCTAATTTTCAATGTAAATTTGAGTCAACTAAGAGATATCAATTTGACTAGACGAACATTGACAAACGTGCTCTCGAAGTCAAACGGTCAACCCCGAACAACGTCTACATTACTGATAGCTATAACAAAAAAATTAATAATATTAATTATTAAGTAATTATATTATAATTAAAAAAAATTCATAATTCCCCCTCCCCCTTCCTTTCTTCCTTCCCTTGCACCCCAATTGGGGGGTAAGCCGAAATAGTAATTCTGCACCTCCGTTTTGCACCCCCGTATTGTTACAAATTATCCAAACATGTGCAAATGTCTTGGAAACTGTATTTACCCTCCCATTTGTATCCTTCTCCCATTTGCACCTCTTCCCAAACATAGTGATAGTATACATGAATGGTGTTATTAGCCAGAATGAATGGTGCAAGATTTTCTCCTAACTACCAAGCATGGTATACTCTATTGTATCCCAAGTATTGTGAAATGTAATTTAGTTGGATTAGTTCATAATATTGAATACCTGCTCGCTTACTTTTGCCGTAATTACCAAGTATTACCTAATGGTCCATCTAAACTCAAGTTATTCCTATACTTTGTATTTTGATTATCTACATTCTTATACTTCAGATATTCCATTCAAACTAAAAATGGAACATAATCCGCGGCAGAGCGCGGACTGATTACTAGTATATAATAATTAATGATAACATTGACATATTACAATACGGCTAACAATAATGTACACTACATCTATTAAAAGACAAAACAACCCTCCCGTAGAGGGAAAAAATCCAAAAGTACCACTGTTTAAAAAAAAATTCCAAAAATACCACCCAACCCCAAAAAATTCCAAAAATACCACCCTTTTTCAAAAACCGCCACCCCACCCAGCGGTTTGGTCCAAAACCGCTTGTCGGGGGCGGTTATAAAAAAAAAAAAATTGGACCAAACCGCCACCCCAACCAGCGGTTTGGTCCAAATTTTTTTTTTTCCGACCAACTCCTAACTTCGGTCGAAACTTCAAACGAACGTAACTTTACACTCGGGTATCCGATCGTAGCGATTGTTTTTTTCATTTCGCATAACTTTTCAAGATCTACAACTTTTACGAGGATGAAATTTTCAAAACAGGAACTATTTGTGGATATACGGGACCTTGAGAATAACTTTACCTTTACTTTTCAGAAATCCATGTAGATTTTGAAATTATGATTATATTAAAAGTTGTAGATCTTGAAAATTTATGCGGAATCAAAAAAAATTTCATAACATTCGGAGTTTGGAGCACAAAGTTATGGCCGCCCAAAGTTTGACGAAAGGCGAGACCCGCGGTTTGCGGCTTGCAAGATCTCAAAAAGTTTGCGGCCTCAATTTTTTGAATCCGAATAACTTTTTGAGATCTTGCAAGTTTCAAACAGTTGGGTTCCCTCTTCGTCTCGAAAAAACGTCATTTGCCACCCCGAACCTTTTTTTTATTTCGTCAAACTTTGGGCGGCCATAACTTTATGCTCCAAAATCCGAATATCATGCATTTTTTTTTATTCCGCATAACTTTTCAAGATCTACAACTTTTAATATAATCATAATTTCAAAATGTACATGGATTTCTGAAAAGTAAAGGTAAAGTTATTCTCAAGGTCCCGTATATCCACAAATAGTTCCTGTTTTGAAAATTTCATCCTAGTAAAAGTTGTAGATCTTGAAAAGTTATGCGAAATGAAAAAAAAATCGCTATGATCGGATACCCGAGTGCAAAGTTACATTCGTTTGAAGTTTCGACCAAAGTTAGGAGTTGGTCGAAAAAAAAAATGTTGGACCAAACCGCTGGTTGGGTGGCGGTTTTGGGCCAAACCGCCACCCCACCCAGCGGTTTGGTCCAATTTTTTTTTTTTTATAACCGCCCCCTAGGCCCGCGGTTTGGTCCAAAACCGCGCCCCCGACAAGCGGTTTTCGACCAAACCGCTGGGTGGGGTGGCGTTTTTGAAAAAGGGTGGTATTTTTGGAATTTTTTGGGGTTGGGTGGTATTTTTGGAATTCTTTTTTAAACGGTGGTACTTTTGGATTTTTCCCCCGTAGAGTGCGCAAAAGCAAGAAAAATTTGAATGAGGTGGGTGGTGAGCTAGAATGTCTTTATATTGTTTGTACGACGACGATAGGTGAAATAAATTTAATTTAGGCTAGTTATAATAATCAATTGAGGGAAATTTGGGAATTCTAGGAAAAATTAAGTATTAGGTGTTAAAATGTTTATATTTGAACCCAACAAACAATATCAACCTTTAACTTTCAAATTCATGAAAAAATTATTATAACAAAAATTCATGAAAAAATCAAAAATTATTTTTATGTTAAATTTACTAAACCATCGTCATTTTATTTGTAGGCAAAAAAATCAATCATATCGATAATATTTTTGTCTGTTTCATTACCGACATTGATTATACAAGGTAAAACTATTGCCGGATGATGGGTGGTTGGATGGATTCGGTGAGTTTACAACATATATTTTGTATGATCACAAAATTTCAATAATTTTAAACTTAAAATGAAAGAAATTTTCAAACTAAATAACGCATAATCCATAAATTAGGTGAATCATTTATTTTACAATATTGTTATTGATAATTGTCCATAAATTATAAAATATTCAACTAATAAACATGATTTAAGCTTGACATTGTCAATAACTAAGGTTCAAGAAGGCACTACGCTTAAGGCAAACATCTTGGTCTTGCCTAGGTCCTCATTCGCCTAGGCGTTGTGAGGCGTAACTAGCTTTTAACCTATAGTCGCAAATTACAATTCCAAATTGATGGAAGGAATGAAGGACAATCGGTGGTAGTTTGAGATGGTGTCATTACGGGGAAGGCAATTGTCTTTTTTTTCTGCCATTTGTCTACTAGTTATCCTTAAGCGTACCTCCAAATGCCTAAGCACAACTCACAACACAATCCTTTGATCGAAATTGAGAGGAATTTTTGTGATATTAAGGATTTCATTTTCAGTAAACCTATATGTTAGAACTTCGATGGTTTCAGGTTAAAAAGCTGGGTGGATCGTGGGTTAACCACAGTCCACCCGCATCCACTTAATCTTTTGTGGGTCACCTATTTTACAACTCACACCCACCCATAGGAACCACTCACATGATAATGAGTGGTTCGATTGCGGGTGGATTTGTGGGTTCAACTACGCAATGCTCACCCCTAAGTCAAATAGTCTATAAGGTGAGATTATATAATAAAAAAGTAATTCATTTTGAATTGAAATAAATTATTGATTCATTTGGTAAAATGAAAAATTAAAGGATTAAAATAAAACTATTAAAAAATAATTATCATTAATGTCATTCAAATGATTCACCCCATCAAAAGAGAGAAAAATGTGTTCATTGAAAGTATGAGAAAACAAATGTTGAAAACTGGCGAATACAACATTTTGTTGTTTCCCAAAATAGTAGGAAGCTCCACTTTCTGTTTCCAAATTTGAAAACAAACAGAAAACAGAATGAAAAGTATACATGTTTTCTTGTTTCTGTTGCCAAATTTATGGAATGGAAACATGAAACGGGAATGAAAGTGAATAGAACGTAATTTGAACATTTGAATATTGATGTTATATGAGTGTGCGTGAATTTTCACCAAATGTTAGTGTTTGTGCCACGTAACCTCCCTCTCCCGACGACTCTAGCACGCCTACTTCCTTGCTTGCACGTCCACTTAGCACTCCCCCCTTCCTGCATGCAAAGGCGCCACCGATCCCTTGGGAAGGGCTCGTTAGCACTCCGACGCCCAAGTCAGAATGATCTTTTCTAAAGAGAGAAGTAGGTGCAAGTTTTAGAGAGAAGTTGGAACCTGAGTAAATGAGCTCCACCCACTTCACTATTTATACTCGGGGTAGGGTCGACCAGTGCCCCCCGAATCCGCCCCACGTCATCACCTCATTAAATGCACTGTACCTTCCTTTCCTCAGGCGCCCCGACATTCTGACACTGGCTTTAGCCACGGAGGCGCATGGCCCCATTCCTTGTCCCCTCCGTACGCTCCCGACCGTTCTCCCCTCTTGTCCCTATGTGCTTTTCCCCCTAGGCCTGGACCCACCTTCTAGGTTACAGCCTCTGGCCCCCTTTTTGGGTCGGGCTGCCCCCCACTTGCCAGGCCCTCACTTCCAGCCCTTCTTGGCCACTTGGGCTTTTCACTTGGGCCTCCTTGCATGCCCCCAACAGTTAGATCCAACTTAGAAATGTTATTTGGGTGTAATGTTATTACTTATATGTAGGGATGACAATCAAACCCATGGCCGTGGGTACCCGACCGCCCCCGACCCAGTCAACGCGGGTAATCCCCGCTTTGACCGGGTATGGGGCGGGTATGGGTAAAACCCGCAAAAAGTTTGATGGGTATGGGGCGGGTATGGTTTTAGCCTCCCCCGCCCCATACCCATATCCGCTCCACCAAGAGAATTTCTTCACATATACAAAAATATATGGATAAAATTGTAATCTATCAATGGTGATGAGGATACCTCGAGGAAATAAATAGTAGAAATGCAATTGAGTGACCACCTTAATAAAAACCTAATTCATTTCTCTCAATTCTCCTTTCACTCTTTCACTTTCCCCTTTGTCAACAAGATTATGTTAGTTAATTATTACTTAGTAGATGTATCATACTTAGAACATAATTAATAATTTAAAAAATATTATACTCTATATTATGTATTATTGTATCAATGAATGTTTTAGGATCATATTCTTTGAACCGTATTAAGAAAATGATCGCGTTCTGTTGAATTCGTGATATAATAGGTACGTTTAGAGTTGCAGTTAAAACTTTTCATGTAAATTTTAGGATAATAATGTTGGATGTACGGGTATGGGTATTACCCATGGGTACCCGAAACCCACGATTATGGGGATGAGTTTGCTAAACATTCGCCCGCATGGGTATGGGGCGGGTATGGGTTTGGATATTTGAATATGGGGATGGGGATGGTTTAGCCAAACCCGCCCCAAATCCGCCCCATTGCCATCCCTACTTATATGTCATGTAAGATTTGATATAATTTAGAAAATTTATGAACATAACAACTTTATTCATTTATCTAGGGTAAATCGGAATAAAGCGAGCAAACTATTAATCCACAATCCACATTATCATCAGGGCCAGAGAGCTAAACCAGGTTGACACCCTTCATCTCTATGGTAACCACTCCTACGAATGCACAACAAACGATCCACATCGGATCAAAACACTACGCATAATTGTTTCTGGCTTCTACTCGCGAAAATCAGACCTGGTTCTCTCATAAGTCATAATTTGAAACATATATAAAATTATTTGCATCAAATAGAGATGACGATTTAATCCTTCTCCGTCTAATCAACGAGGAAATTTCTACCTTGGTTGGGTACGAGGCAAAGACAGGTGTCTCGCAAAAAAACTTAGGTGCCAAAATGTAAATTTTAGAGTATATTTTGTGTTGAAAAAGGTAAAGTTTAGGTATAAAATCATAAAGATACTAAACTATAATTTTACCACATGAATCCGAATTCGTTTGAATAGAATTTAAGAATTTTAGACAAATTGAATTAGTACGAGTTGCAAAACATCCGTGTAGATGCTGGAAGGTACGTGTTAGTAGTGATGGCAATGGGTGAGGCGGGGCGGGTACATCACTATTCATGCTCCGCCCCAATCTATTGCGGGTTGTGATGGGTAAAACCCTGTGCGAGTATGGGGCGGGGCGGTTTGAACATTTGAATATTGATGTTATATGAGTGTGCGTGAATTTTCACCAAATGTTAGTGTTTGTGCCACGTAACCTCCCTCTCCCGACGACTCTAGCACGCCTACTTCCTTGCTTGCACGTCCACTTAGCACTCCCCCCTTCCTGCATGCAAAGGCGCCACCGATCCCTTGGGAAGGGCTCGTTAGCACTCCGACGCCCAAGTCAGAATGATCTTTTCTAAAGAGAGAAGTAGGTGCAAGTTTTAGAGAGAAGTTGGAACCTGAGTAAATGAGCTCCACCCACTTCACTATTTATACTCGGGGTAGGGTCGACCAGTGCCCCCCGAATCCGCCCCACGTCATCACCTCATTAAATGCACTGTACCTTCCTTTCCTCAGGCGCCCCGACATTCTGACACTGGCTTTAGCCACGGAGGCGCATGGCCCCATTCCTTGTCCCCTCCGTACGCTCCCGACCGTTCTCCCCTTTTGTCCCTATGTGCTTTTCCCCCTAGGCCTGGACCCACCTTCTAGGTTACAGCCTCTGGCCCCCTTTTTGGGTCGGGCTGCCCCCCACTTGCCAGGCCCTCACTTCCAGCCCTTCTTGGCCACTTGGGCTTTTCACTTGGGCCTCCTTGCATGCCCCCAACAGTTAGATCCAACTTAGAAATGTTATTTGGGTGTAATGTTATTACTTATATGTAGGGATGACAATCAAACCCATGGCCGTGGGTACCCGACCGCCCCCGACCCAGTCAACGCGGGTAATCCCCGCTTTGACCGGGTATGGGGCGGGTATGGGTAAAACCCGCAAAAAGTTTGATGGGTATGGGGCGGGTATGGTTTTAGCCTCCCCCGCCCCATACCCATATCCGCTCCACCAAGAGAATTTCTTCACATATACAAAAATATATGGATAAAATTGTAATCTATCAATGGTGATGAGGATACCTCGAGGAAATAAATAGTAGAAATGCAATTGAGTGACCACCTTAATAAAAACCTAATTCATTTCTCTCAATTCTCCTTTCACTCTTTCACTTTCCCCTTTGTCAACAAGATTATGTTAGTTAATTATTACTTAGTAGATGTATCATACTTAGAACATAATTAATAATTTAAAAAATATTATACTCTATATTATGTATTATTGTATCAATGAATGTTTTAGGATCATATTCTTTGAACCGTATTAAGAAAATGATCGCGTTCTGTTGAATTCGTGATATAATAGGTACGTTTAGAGTTGCAGTTAAAACTTTTCATGTAAATTTTAGGATAATAATGTTGGATGTACGGGTATGGGTATTACCCATGGGTACCCGAAACCCACGATTATGGGGATGAGTTTGCTAAACATTCGCCCGCATGGGTATGGGGCGGGTATGGGTTTGGATATTTGAATATGGGGATGGGGATGGTTTAGCCAAACCCGCCCCAAATCCGCCCCATTGCCATCCCTACTTATATGTCATGTAAGATTTGATATAATTTAGAAAATTTATGAACATAACAACTTTATTCATTTATCTAGGGTAAATCGGAATAAAGCGAGCAAACTATTAATCCACAATCCACATTATCATCAGGGCCAGAGAGCTAAACCAGGTTGACACCCTTCATCTCTATGGTAACCACTCCTACGAATGCACAACAAACGATCCACATCGGATCAAAACACTACGCATAATTGTTTCTGGCTTCTACTCGCGAAAATCAGACCTGGTTCTCTCATAAGTCATAATTTGAAACATATATAAAATTATTTGCATCAAATAGAGATGACGATTTAATCCTTCTCCGTCTAATCAACGAGGAAATTTCTACCTTGGTTGGGTACGAGGCAAAGACAGGTGTCTCGCAAAAAAACTTAGGTGCCAAAATGTAAATTTTAGAGTATATTTTGTGTTGAAAAAGGTAAAGTTTAGGTATAAAATCATAAAGATACTAAACTATAATTTTACCACATGAATCCGAATTCGTTTGAATAGAATTTAAGAATTTTAGACAAATTGAATTAGTACGAGTTGCAAAACATCCGTGTAGATGCTGGAAGGTACGTGTTAGTAGTGATGGCAATGGGTGAGGCGGGGCGGGTACATCACTATTCATGCTCCGCCCCAATCTATTGCGGGTTGTGATGGGTAAAACCCTGTGCGAGTATGGGGCGGGGCGGTTTGACCCGCTCTTATATATTATTTGAAAAAAATACACGCAAATTTTACTTTTTATGATAAAACGAATGAAAAAACACTTTATGAATATAATAGAATAAGTAATTAAGTCTAACAAGTTAGGAGAAATATGTATAAATACTGTAAGAAAATAATATAAAATGAATCATGAACGGGACGGTGTGTACAGAACGGATCGAAAGTAGATATACATGCTCCGCCTCACACTACTACAGGTCGAATAATACCCGCCACATCACGGGTCAGATAGAATAATACCCGCGAGGCGAGTTGAAATTACTATCACTACGTGTGTTAGGAGGGCGCCATCTAAAACGTGTTGATTTTCTTCATATTACGACGCATTTTGAGCTTTACAAAGACGTATGTGGAACAACATCTTTATCACTAATCAAAAAGGTGTTGCGCGCCTGGACCAAGCCCTCAGATTGAAGGGGGAAACACCCTTCAACTAAATAACTAAAAACAATACCCAAGGATTAGTGATTCCACATAAGTACTAAATTGCAGCACATAATATTTGATTGTACAACATGAAGGATCTAAATCCACAAAACTAAGATATGCTGTCACAGCTATTCAGCAATTTATGTCATTCGCTCTGGCAAACCCCTAGAGAATAATAAGAATTTAAATGTCGGAGCAGATTTCAGTGAATTACATCCACCAAGGAAAGATCAAGCCATGCTGCTGCCTTTGAGGCCCTATTCATCAGCAGCATCCAAGGAATAGTGACCAGCATTTCTCCCCTGAAGATTTCAGTAAATCAAACAATTGAGGATTCCAATTAGTTGAAGATTCCTAGATGCTATTATCATCATGTAAAATTGGAGAAAAGGGAATTCCAGCTCGTACCTCAGACAGCATCCGTTGCTTGTTCATGTACTGGGTTCTGGCTTTGTTCAGAAATGAATTTGGGGACCGGAACATTCTCTGCAAAATTTATCATTGCGAGTCGGTTTAGTTGCAGCGAAGTAGTTATCGTGCTCGAACTCTGCAATCTAGGTGAAGGGGTCTGATCCAAATTGAATGGCAAAGAGAATCTCACCTTATCACCACTCGACATCTGAGCATCAGCACCCTGTTTCTTTTTTGGTGCAAATCCAAATACTTCGTGGAGACACTCATTATCCTGTCAAACCAGAATCAGCATGAAGAAACATGATTTAAGCAACACAATGATTACAGCATGAAGACTAAACTTAAAGAGCATACCTGCATGTGCTTGACAAATCCACCTCCAAGAAAATGCTTCAAGAAGTTCAGCTGTTTAAGTAAACAGTAAACATTATTTAATATTTCCACAAATGGGCACAGAATTCTTCCAGTAGCAAACAAAAGTGACAACTATGCAAAGGGTACCTACCTGTACTAGTTGATGCCAGGTTGAGGTCTGGAATGAATCCCCACCTATCTTCATCGAGACTTCAGGACTGTCACCCCCCTGAGAATAAGGCCAGATAGATATTGGAAGCATTTTTCAACCAAAAAGTTGAAAAGACAGAAGTCTATCGAAAAGTATTTGATACCTCAAGGTAATCTAAAATGTCCCTAAACAAGTTCCTCTGGCTGTTCAGATCTTTCTTAGCAGACCCTTTGCCTCCAGCCTCTGCAGCAAGGTCTTTCACTTGATCTAGTATTTTTCTTTTTAGACCTTGCACATGCGCATAAGATTTATTCCCATCTTGAGCAGAGCTTTCAAAGGCCTCGGCAGCAAACTTCTCCAGACATCCCATCTCAAAAATCAAAGCCAATGCTTCACCAGCTGCAATTCGTACGGTACGGTCCTCCTTATCCAGGAGCGAGGAGAAGTAGGAAATGCACCTGCACAAGAAGTCAAACCTTCAAATCACCTCTAGGACAACTAGTAGGAAACCAACTTTAAGTTCTACATGTACTCAGAAAGATATAATCATGATGCAGAAGCAGAAAAAGAAAAAGAAAGCTAGCTTACTCTTGCCAGTCCTTGGGGTTTAATGTCCACCCGTCCATGGATGTCAAAAGAAACGCCCAGGCAGACGCCACTGCTGTAATAACAGGACTAGAAGGCTTAACGCCAACGACCTACCATTTAATCAAACAAAACAACAGGTTCACTGAGTGCGGATCTCCTAAAGTTGCAAACAAAATCAAAATAACAAGTACACTTTGGAGCACATACATTAGGGCCAAGTTTAGGGCGAACCAACTGCCACATGATTAGCATAGATTGTTCAGTCTCCTCGGGACCATTTCCACAAATAAAGGTAACAATGGCAAGACACTCCACCAACTGCAATCATAAACCAAAGGCAAAAGGATAGCCATAATCAGCAAAACCTTCGATATCACATGATAATTCCAGGTGATGATTTCCACAGAGCTATACTTACAGCTACCCTCCTCAACGAGTCTGAACCAGACTTAAGTGACTGGGAAATTGGGGCGATCAACTCTTCAAATATTTCATGAGTGTTGTCCTTAAAACCAACAGTTAAGGCCAGCAAACCTAGAAAGTGCACATTTCACACATATATTAGGGAATGCAAGGCGAGATACATAACTCTAACAAGCAATTCAACTACCAATACTAACCAATGGCATGAGATGCCAGAGCTATCTCTTTGCTGGACCCCTTTTTTATGCAACTGACACATTGATGTAGCAAAGTAGCAAACCTGAGCAAATACCAAACCAAATGGGTTACAGACGGAAACTAGAACAGCAAAGAGCTATCTAAATGAGAAATACACGCTTGGAAAAGACTTAAGAAGAACTCGTAACACAGTGCCCTACTTCTTTTCCACAAACTCATGCTGTAGATTGGTATTGAAAGCCTCGACAATGGAGGCCAATGCTCTCTCTCTAGTTGTACTCCTAAACCATGAAAGAGAACCCATAGTCAGCTTCACAATCAACCAAAAAGTGCACCAATCCATTTGATAAATCAAAGGATTTTCATTCCCATCACGAACCTCTTCTCGTACAAAGCATCTAAAGCCTGGTCCAGTAAGTTATCCTTCTCAATCTCCACTTCTTCATTACCGGTCACGGAGATAAGATCAGAACGTACAGTCGACGATGAACTCACACTACTATCATCATCATCGCTCTCCAACATGGAGGCATTCTTCTTTCTATTACTACCTGAACGAGCTCGACGATAATTGTTATCAGTATTATTACATTAACAAACAAGTCAAAACCAAAAAACCCAAAGCCGAAAAAACCTAGGATTCCATAAAATTCAAGGGCGACCAATTCCAAGACCGAAACTTTCAGCAATTGGGCAGACAAAATCAACAAGGGCAAACGAACCCCCAAACAATAACACCAGGATTCATGTGAATTTCGGAAATTGACTACCCGATAGATGAAGAATGACAAAAAAGAGGCAGAGAATCGCTTACGTTTCCCCATTGCTATTGCTAGCTAGCTAGCGGCGGCGGCTGAGGCTTACGAACGGACGAACGAAGAAACCCTAACCGGCGGTCAAAATCGAACAGCACGCTGACTAGGAAAATAAAAGCTGGAAGAATCGGAAGCAGGACAAGGGAACTGAAAAGAAATCGCTGATCGACGAAAGGAGCACGAAGACGGCAACAACGCAGGTGAGGTTGAGGACGATCTAGCCATTAAAATTCCGGAGGCAAGAAGCTTGACCGAACGAAATTGCATAAAAATCCAAAGGCGGACGCAGAGGGAGAGATTGGACGCGAACGAATGGAGGGAGGGAGCTTTGGGGAAACGCCAAATTGCTCTTATATATTATGCCCTGCCCTTTGATTGATTTCCGATTCCGGGAGAGGAAAGGAAGAAGAGAAGGGAAGGGAGGAAGGGTTTATTCTGATTTCTAAGGTGGAGTGGGCACCGAATATTCGAGCGTGTAGTCGACCACAGCCAGTTGAATTTGGGGCTCACACGTGGCGCTTCCTTGGCCGCAGGATTCGCAGATGAATGACCTCCCACGTTTGTTTTCCTAGTATTTATGGATCTGGTTCGCTAGATTTGGGCCTACTGCGTGGCGCGTTAAACTATAGGTGTGGAGGTGAAGAAGATTTGGAACCTCACGTGTAAGTAGGCGAAGTAAGAAGGGTGCACCGGAAACTTGGACCGATCGACCGACGATGGAGTGAGCACAAGTGGTTGGTAGTAGGGCTGGCTTAGCTATTTGGTCAAGGTGTTTTGGTTTTATCCGAAATCAGACTGTATAATCCGGACCGAGATCGGATAGTAAACAATTCAATACAATCTTTGAGCTTGGATTTGAGGTAAAAAATCATTCGAAACCGGATCGAAAACTGGATAAAGACCGGATAAGAGAGCTCAACACCCAAAACTTAAGGGTAATTTGCATAAACGGTCACAAACCTTTGCACTTAGTACAAAACTTAACCAACTCCTCACCCTTTCAGGCCTTAGGCCACTCAAATCCCCACAAGCTCAATATAAAATCAAGACCGAATTGGGACCGGACCGGGTCAAGACCGGACCGGATCAAGACCGAACTGTATCCCATCCAGGTTTTGGTCCTTATATTTTCAAAAAGACCGGACTGGACCGGATCAATTTGGACCAATTTAACCGGACCGGACCGTATAACTACCCCTAGTTGGTAGAGGGTGATACTACACTTGATCTTAGTGAAAATGGGGTAAAATATCTCGGTTACCACTTATATTTGAGAATTAGGGTAAACATATCACGTAAATTTGAATAGGACGTCAGGTACCATTAAAGTCGACAAAATGTGCATCTGTATACTTTTCCATCCAACCCAAACTTTTAATTACTTTTTGATACCCAAAACTTTTAAAAACATTCAAAACTATAATTCAACAAGTTTTATCTAATATAAAAATTAAAAAATCTTCTAAACATATTATTACTAAAATGGCTAATCAAAATTTTTCAATAAAATAGATAAATTAGTAAAAATAGTAAATGAAAATTAAGAAAATAATAAATATACTAAAATATAATAATAAATATTTGAATATCTATTTAAACATCCTAATTCAATTAAAAGCACCATTAAAAATAGTTAAAATAGAACATAACGATCATCAATACATCAACACCAAAGAAAGATAAATGGAACACAATCATAAGGAATAAAATATATTCCAGTAATTGAAAAAACATTTAGAACAAAAAAAGACGGAAGTAACCAAGTAATAAATGAAATATAAAAACTACAAAGTTCAGTAAAAAATGTAGAAAAAAATATGACTATAAAAAAGAATTAGAATTACTAAATTTAACTAATATGAAATATCTATAATATAATATTAAATAATTAAAAGGAGATTTAACATGGAAAATTAGACAACATCTTAATGATGTAAGAGAACTAAATAACATTCTCGTATTATTTATATCAAAATAGAACTCATAAGATATATTTTTTTTCCACGGAATTATTCAATTATAAGAATACATAATGATAATTGAAAATACTTATAATGATAATTTATTCTAAATTTTCTATTCAAAAATTGATTTGGTATCAAGTATTCGAAAGAGGATTCCAATTAAACAATAAAAAAAATTGTGTTTTTCATAAGTCCAAATGATTTTTTTACGATAAGAAAAGTAGAATGACCAATTATGAAATTTAAAAAATGGAATATTCCAACAATATTCTGTCAACTTTAACGCAATGCACTTAACAGTAAAATTAAGTGGTACCGGGTGCACATATAATAGAGTTCAGTAGTACACGATGCCCTATTTTTCGTTAAGTGGTATTGCTCTCCCAATTCTCATACTTTAGTGGTACCCCAGAAAGGTATGGTTGGTAGAGGTGATAGAAGCTCCAAAGGAAGAAAGAAAAGGGAAATTTCCCAGAAAATATTTTATGGTTGCTTGCTTCGCATTTGCTTTTACAAAATGAAGCATGAGGTCAACTGATATGGGACAATGATGGTATGATGATTTTAAACCCATTTAAGACAATAACTACTAATTTTATTGTGCTTAGGAGCATCAAATAGAACTTAGCATATTGGTTAAATGTTTTAAATGCTAATGAATTGGATTCTTAGGTATCAAGTTATTAGGGGCGGAGCTAGGATTTAAAGTTGGGAGGGGGGCGGAGTAACTTAGCACATTATCGCCAAAATACTAAAAAATAAAGATATATATAATTATATAACATATAACATTAATTAAAATAATCAAAAGCACTCAAAATAGAATTAATATAAAGTTTTTCTAGTATGCTATGCTCAAAGTAAATGATTATACTACGAAAAAAAGTACCATGTAACTTTTTCCATATTATTATACATTGAATATGATTTTATGATTATATTAATGTTTGTATAAATTAATTAATTATCCAAAGAAAACTCCTTGAAAATATGAATGTAGAAATTCAAGAAAAAGCAAGGTTTATAAGACAAAGCAGGAAAATTAATAGATTTAATTGAAAAAAATAATAAAATAGTAAGATTAAAATTGCCGCCTACCAAGATCGAAACTGTTACCCTTTGGTTGTAACAAAACATCATCTACGCTAGACTGTAACCTATCATGATAACCATTTCAAAAAATATCAATATCATTGCAGAAATAAATCTATACCATTACAGGAAAACTACCAATATAAACAATCTACCAATATAAATCTATACCATTTCACAAAAAATAAATACGATTGCAGATTTAAATTAATACCAATCCGCAAGACAACCACTACCATTTCGGAAAACACCAATACCATTGCAGAAATAAATCAATACCATTAGGAAAAACAATACCATTACACTAAAACTACCGATATAAACAATCTATATCATTACAAAAGTCAAAACAATACCATTGCATAAATAAATCAATACCATTAAGAAAAACAAAACTACCATTTCATAAAATGAAACAAATAAACCATTACCAAAAAAGTAAACCCAGATCTAGAGCCTCTCCTATATATATATATATATATATATATATATATAGAGAGAGAGAGAGAGAGAGAGAGAGAGAGAGAGAGAGGAGAGGAGACTTTGACTGGTAATGGCAGCAAGTGGCCGCTAAGTGAGAGAGAGAGGCCGTGGGAATGGAGGAAGGTTGGGGTGGGGCGGCGGAGGGTAGCAAAGGCGGAAGGGTGGTGGTAGGAGGGCGTGAGAGGGGAAGAGGGATTGGGTGGGGTGGCCAGAGGGTGGTGGTAGAAGAGTATGGGAGGGAAGGAGGGATGGAGTGGGGCGGCGGGCGGCGAACGCAGCGAAAGCGAGGCCAGCTAAAGGGAGCTGGTGTCATACATAGTTTTGTCATGTGAAGTAAATGGTGAATCAGCGAAAAAGTTTTGCCATATGAAAACAATGACGCAGTTGTCAGTAACTTTTTAGATGAATGGTCCCCCGAACGAGTCAGAGGAGCCAACTAATGGGAGCTTATCTCGTAGATAGCTTGGCCATGTGAATAAAATTGACAGAATTGTCAGTTGCTTTTCAAATCAAAGGTGATGAATGGTCTCCGAACTTCTCTATAAAAAAATGGTCCCCGAACGAATCAGAAACAAACTAATGGGAGCTTGTCTCAGAGATAGCTTGGCCATGTGAATAAAATTGGCCCGAATCAGAAACAAACTAATGGGAGCTTGTCTCAGAGATAGCTTGGCCATGTGAATAAAATTGGCCCGAATCAATTGTCAGTCGCTTTTCAAATCAATGGTCCCAATCGAACCTGGACATCCAGATTGTAGGGCCAGTCATTCAAACAGTGAAGTTGATCATTTAATACCAAATTTCAGGGATCTGTCTCCTCTGAAGATACTGGTTGGAGATTAATATTTAAAAATAAGGCACATTTGGAGGTCTACCGATTCCTCCCGTGTGATCACAGAGACAACAATATATGGAAAGTTTGGAATTTTGTTACGGTTACTAGAAATGATGTCCATGGTCAGGGGCGGAGCTAGGATTTAAAGTTTGGGGGGGGGACGAAGTAACTTAGCACATTATTGCCAAAATACTAAAAAATAAAGATATATATAATTATATAACATTAATTAAAATAATCAAAAGCACTCAAAATAGAATTAATTTAAAGTTTTTCTAGTATGCTATGCTCAAAGTAAATGATTATACTACGGAAAAAAGTATCATGTAACTTTTTCCATATTATTATACATTGAATATGATTATATTAATGTTTGTATAAATTAATTAATTATCCAAAGAAAACTCCTTGAAAATATGAATGTAGAAATTCAAGAAAAAGCAAGGTTTATACGATAAAGCAGGAAAATTAATAGATTTAACTGGAAAAAATAATAAAATAGTAAGATTAAAATTGCCGCCTACCAAGATCGAAACTGTTACCCTTTGGTTGTAACAAAACATCATCTCCGCTAGGCTGTAACCTATCATGATAACAATTCTTCAATGGATTTTTATCTATATGCTACATTAAATTTATACGTAATTATCGAAATTTTCTACGACTTTATACGTAAGTTTTAAAATTCTCGAGGGGGGGCTCCGCTCCTGTCCATGACTCTCTCTTTTCTTCGGGACAGGTTGCAGTGATTACTAAGGGTAAATTGAGTATGAAAAATAAATTATATTAATTAATTTTAATAATTTACATTTTAGGTAGTTACAAGAATCTATTAATTACAATTCTCTCTCTTTCTCTCACTTCCACTCTCACTTCCATAATCTCCAGCCAGATCCCCTTTCCTTATTTTTCTCAATATTTTCGCAAAAGAAAAAAACACGAAATCACTACCAATCTATTAGACAACCACTACCATTTCGAAAAATATCAATACCATTGCATAAATAAATCTATACCATTAAGAAAAACAAAACTACCATTTCATAAAGTAAAACAAATAAACCATTACAAAAAAAGTA